TTATACTACAAAAATAATCATTAAGTATAACAGCTTTATTCTTATCACTCATAATTATTTCATCCGTCATTGGATCTATAAGAGCTGGAATTGTATCAGATGAACCACTAGATTTCATTAGACGTTTAATTAATCTCCAATATGCTTTTGGGTCGGACGAAGAATAGTTATTTATTAGCCCATGGACATTTTCATAAAATATTTGTCTGTAGTACTTCTTCATATTGTTGACTTTATTTCTCTGAGTTTTAAACTGATTGATATCATGTTGTGTTTTTGTCTTTCTAGCTGTTTGATGTAAATTATCTCTTATTCGCATATTTTTTCTCAATTCTGTTGTCATCCATGGCTTATCATTTGGTCTGATTACTACAACTTTCGAAGGTATTGATAATTCTGCAAATTTCATAAAAACATTAGTAAAGGTTTCACAAGCAATATCGACTAATTGAGAATTTGTAAATGCTTCACTCCAGTCAAATTGATTTATAAGATCATAGAATTTACCAAAATCTGCTCGTTTATACAACCAAACTTTACGTTTGTAAACTGATTTAAAAGAAAATGGAAGTTTAACACTAACCGTACAACCATCATGATCACTGATTGACCTTTCAATATCTATAACATATGAGTCTATACAGGAAAGAGATTCACTTAAAAGAACTGGATTAAGTAAACTTGATCTAGTATGACCTACACGAGTGGGTTCTAATATAACATTTGACAAACTGAGGGAATTCATTATATCAACAAAAACATGCGTTGGTGCAACAGTTAATAAATCTACATTGAAATCCCCTGTAATAATAACATTTGGTGACATGTCAAACGCACTATGAATAGCTGATCTGAAATTGTCCCAAAATGGTAAAACAGAATTTTCAGATCTATAAATGGTGCCAACTATATAAGTGAAGTTACGAAAAGTGATTTGTAGCCAGATGGTTTCATCGCTATTATATTCAAGGTCTGTTAATCTAGTTTCTTTTAGTAAATCATTTACGTAAACAATAACGCCCCACTAGCAAAATTTCTATCGCTTCTAAAAGGAGAATGAAATCCCGGTATAAGTAGGTCATCTATGGAAACATTATCGTCCAAGTGACTTTCAGTAAAACATAAATCATCAAATTCACCAGCAAAATCTTCAATAAAATTCGATTCGATTCAATATCCATGCACAGCAATATCAAAAACCTCAGTATGATAAAGAAATGGAAATTCCTAACACAGGAAACGATAACGATAGTAACTAAATTGCTTGATTTCATCAATCTGTGATAATTCATCTTAAAGTGGGATGCATAAAACATGTATTCAAGATAGGATAACAATTTGAATTGTTATCACACAATACAAACTTCAGAATTAAAACAAAGGACTATATTGTTTTGTTTTACCAATGCTTGCATACATGCAAAGTATGCGAATAGTATGCATGAATTTACAGCGGTTTTGAACAAGTCAAGAAATGAGTCATACTTATCAATGAAATGCAATTTCTTACTAAAAGCAAGTGACTTACAATAAAATGTACCCATGGCACACCTCCATGTATCAATACAACAACCCATCATGGAGGGTAAAAGGCATAATATCTATGAAAACGTGTGGCAAGGTGGCCAGGGGTAACAATATGTTCATAAAGGTATGACGTCATCTGAAGATATAGAATTAATGGAAGATAGCAAAGGAGACAAGGATGGGATAAAAGTGATAGGTAAAAGAAGATAAGAAGGCAAATTGGAGGTAAGGAGAACTGCATTTTGAACTATTGTGGTTTTGAGGGGGAACCTTTCGACAGAAAGATGAAATACAAGAAAAAAAACACGATGATAGACAAAAGAATACAAAGAATATAGTTGTCTGTTTGGAACACAAAAATATTGTAGCAACAATATTATTAATGACCAGCATGAACAAGGATGTATTTACTTAAACAATACTTCATTGGAGAAAAAGATTAATTCAACTTGAATAATGATAAAAATAATGCAAGGCATAAATAAATGATAAAGTAAAATTAAAGAAAGAAAGCTACACGACATAATGACATATAAAAATGTTTACCTATATACTATAATGCAATTTTGGAATGCCTTCCGTTCATCTTGAACATAAATGTAAATAAGTATAAGTCAATATAACAGTGAATCATAAACTTGTAAACTTGTAATGACGTGGAGATTGGAAAACGTCAGTACTCAAAAATAAAAGTGAAACAAAAATATATATAATAATAATATGAGTAACCCGACTTCATAACCTACGATCAACATACATCATAATTATACAAACAGCCAATAAATAACACAATACGACTCATGGAAAACTTAATGACTCGATTCAACACGGAATCACACGACGCAGATAAAAAAATTTTCTTTTCTTTTTTTTTTTAACTGTAAATCATGTGACGCGTACTTGTATTTAGAAAAAAAAATATCATATACCATCATACGCTATTGTAACATGGACACATGACGCGGAAAATAGAAAACATTATTACTCGACATACATGTTAACTATAAGCGTATGACGTGTGTATTATTATAGCATACACTATTATAACTTGGGCGCTTTTATAACGTAATCACACGGCACTGAAATCAGGAAACTGTAACAAGCTGTATGATAACGTGCTAATTAGTAACATTAATTCATCATCATACACTTTTATAACTCGGACGCAGTAATAAAAGAGACACACGACGCGAAACTTTTATGATACGACATTTGCTGAAATGATTGTAAAGTGTAAGACTCGGATCTTAGAACACGTCATTACAACATACGCTGTAATAACTGTAACTATAAATCATACGAGATATCTTTGAGAAAACTATATTAAATTGAGGAAAAAAACAAAAACAAAAAAACAAAAAAAAAACAAAAAAAACTTATGACACTTTGGTTTTTCTACATTCAGCTTTTACTATTAACTGAATAAGTATACACGGAGCGTCGAGATCTGTCAAAATCATAAAGACTTAAAATTCAGTGTCATGTGAGATAAACTACTCCACAACTATGTTGATAATTATTTCGTGTCACAAAACCATTGAGCTCACGGCGAGACGTCTAGCGGAAATAACTGTATATTATTACCAAAACGCGGGTAGCACATTTTTAGAAATTAAACGTGTCTTACGTATAACGTAGTCATTTCACATTGTATTAACCGGATAAGTATACACGGAGCGTCAAAAACCATCATACTTGTAATAAACACAAGGTAGTACTACAGAAAATCTTTGGTGAAAAAAACTAAACAAAACATTACTACATAAGTTTGACAGACAACAAGACGTAAACCGTAAATCATTTACAACTCGGAAAAGTGTTCAAAGGTGATATATATGTAAGTACATATACATATATTTAACGACAGATTTCTATATATTAGTAATTAGAAAGGAGAAAAAAATCATATCGTAAGAAGCATGGCCTTTTGGGGAAAACTGTGAAACGACCACTTTTTTTCTTTATAAAACACTGATCACTGTATTGGTCAAGAAAATTCATGGTAAGACGTTACATGTATTTAGATTGAGGATGAAATTACTATGAATATGATATCCGTACACAATACATGTAAAATGGAGGCAACACAGATGGTTGATTATTAAAACTGGACAGGGGGCATCTGATTTGTCTATATGATTAGGTAAGAATTTTTCAGTAAAGACTTGGAGTTTAAATTCAACAATGAGTATATACCCAGCCAGTTACTGAATTTTGCACTGACACACACAACTCGGCCACCAGAAAAGAAGACAGTTCATGGGTCGTGGCAGCCAGTGATAATGCGGCAGGCCAGACTCCAGCCACCGGATAGGTTATCAGTGATATTATTTGACAAAATGAAGTATTAAGACTCTTAAAAGTATGTATATACATGCATAACGCCCCAGTCAAGCATAATAAGTTAGATACAATAGATTTTTTTTCGAAAACGAGAAATGCACAAATTTGGATTTTTTTTTTCAGAATAATGCTTTATTCATTACAGCTATTAAGTGGTGAAAATTTGACAGGCAAATAAATCGAGACAGGCGGAAAGGCTTGTAATGTTTAGGTTCATAAAAAAGTTTGTCTACTAAAGTTTTTTCATATACAAGTGTATATTTCACGTGTAGACTGACTTAACGAGTTACACGGTCTCTGGGGGTATAGTTGAAGTCAGGCACCAGACTTTGTATGTCAACAAGACAGGAAGCTAGAACTTTAGGGGAATTGTGTTCCTTTCTGGCAATGATACGGCCGTCCCTTGTGCGGAACGAATGCCTTTTGTTCATGTGGCGCAACTTATTGAGTTCATTGACAATGGTTTGTCGTTTTTTTATATTTTTGTCAGTGCTTCCACAATCAGCGTGCGATTCGCGTTGCCCTTGAGGTGATGATTAGCTTCGAAAACTCGTTGACGATCATAATATCTGACGAAACGCACAATGACATTCACCTTATCGTCTTTGATCTGGCCCAGAATATGGCATTTAGAGATCGCGTTCACTGGAAGCTGTATTTTGAGCGATTTTTCACAAATTAACATAACAGCTCTAAGGGCGTCAAACGATTGACTGTTATCACCATGGGGTACCGGGACATTGAGGAATTTTAGACAGTTGCGACGCGAGTACTGCTCTTGCTCTTCGAGACTGTTTTCAAGGTCGTTTTTGTCTTTCTCAAACTGCTGAATCTTCTCGTTCAGCGCCTTAATTGTGGATTCTTGCATCGATACCTTGTGGACGAGTTCACTGACTTGGTTTTGTGTAACTTGTACCCCAGATTCAGAAATAACATCTTTAATCAAAGTACCATCACTGATCAGCGAGGTTACTCGATTTTCAATTATTGGTTTGAGTTCATCAATTATGGTTTTTTGAATAATAGACGCCACCATGTTTGCTAAGGGCTCAATCAAAATTTGAATCATGTGGTTGATGAACTGTGTAGAGGAAGCAGTCTGATATATTGAGTCAGTTATTGATGACGCAATGGAACTTGATTGGCTTACATTTGGGCTCGATTTGAAGAATGCTTTTTTGGAACTGACCGGACAGATGGATCAGGAGATATTTCTTCAAGTAACCGTTTCCTGGCTTCAGCGTCAAGAATCGGTGATGAATACATCACTGCTTGTTCACGTGAAATCGAATTTGAGTTATCAGAGGTAATTAGGTTTAAAATTGATAGCTGTGTATGTTATGGCCGAGTACCAGTTACCTGGTCACGGCTGATTTCATTTACCTGTGCGATCGGAATGTCTGGAATGGTGTCCATGCCAGGTTTACCTTTGTCCCCATAACTGAAGATTTCACAAACTAAATCCTTAATACGGACAAACCACAATCTTCAGCAGCACCTTCACATATCAATTGTCCAAACAGAAACTGTTCCAATTGTACACAAAATTATAATTAGGGGAAAATATGGACCCCGATCGAAACACGTCCTACGCCATCAGAGACATGCGCACTATTGAATAGTATATAAGATTACTGATGATGGATCCAAAACGACATCACCAGAATTTACTCATAATAACTTAAAATGGAAATTGGTCAATGTTTACATATCAGTAATGATACTTTTTCAGAATCAATGCAAAACTAATTGTATGCGTTTTTGGGTTCTTTTTTTCACCACAGAAATTAATATTTACATTTACACAGTGACCGCGACATGAAGATCTGAATTTAATATATATATATATAAGATCAATGAAGTAATAGTGACAGTACGGACAAGTGAATTGTTAAATGTTCGAGGCAATCTGTCCCTTTATCAAGACACCGATATTACATAAATTACACCACACACATAGAACATAAAACAAATAAAAAGTTATAAATCTAAATCGAGAGAGCTGGTGTAAATTTAGGTGTCTCGATAATCCCTTCGGCCGATGGACGCCGAAGGGCCTTTATAACGGACGATATATATAACCACACATTCCAAGTTGTTGTATGGAAGATGGTGATTAAAATATCAAATATGTTTTACACTCTAGACACTGAGTGTATATTTGATCGTTATGAAAACAATTGCATGTTACACTCCGAGGAATGTAGTTTACAGTTACATCTCAGCCACATTCTAAATGGGGAATTGTTTGATTAAAATATATGTATGTGTAGTTACAACAAAAAGTAATTTGATAAAATTCACCAGTTAAATGCACAAATATATATATATGTGTGTATATAAATATCATTTGTAATATCTTGCGAATGCGTTGTTCAAAAACAATGAAAATCGGTCAAGCAAATCCATAGGTAACGTTGCAGGTGGTCCTGTATCGAACGTTGCATTATTGTTCTGTTACACACAAAACCAAGTCTCTTCGTAACAGATAAGACTTTACTAGATATTCCAAGAAATCCTTTTCATATGTAAACTTACATATAGTAAAAGCTGGAAATACAAAATAACAGATATTCAAATGACTGAGTACAAAATGGGGATTTCAGTACCCTCAGTACTTGGATTAGACGTGAAAAATTAACCAAAATGTTTCAAATTCAATGTTATACATAAAGACTAACTATACTTGTACTGTCATGACTGACGGACTGCAAGACACCAAATGATAATGAATACCACGGTATTTCTCACAATAATAAGAGCGAAAATTAGAACAACGACGTGTTCTCGTTGTGGAGACAATTAACGTTGGAATCTCAAATTCCACAATTACTCTCCTGTAATTTCATAAAAACAACAAGGTATTTAATACATTACATGATGCAGTAATTTGCAGTAAACTAACCTACGATAGGCCATACAGATGTTTTGAGTTAAACACAAATCTGATTTCGATTGAAATGGGACGGAATGTCCAATACAAATTTTTCGATATAGGATAAACTCCAGGTGAATCCAGACAAATATATGGTCGACATCAAGTATCTATACACTCGTATAAAATCCCAGAATGTTATTATTTCTATCACTTACACTGTGTGGATCTCCGTGAGTGTGAAACTTGGTGAAATGTATAGTACCGTGCTTTCGGTTTACAGTTCTTCCGAAAACCTGCCAAGGGCGATAACTCTAAAAACTATTAACTACCCAGTAGGGCTTATAGGTGTCACAACACTATGCAAATCCTATATAAAGACAGCACAATTATTGTATTGTGTGACAATGTCTTCCGGCGAAAGCACGAAACGGGAAAATCTCGTGCACAGCAGTGTTGTGGACAAGTTACACTGCTCGTCATACCACTAGGTAGTCTTCATACAGGCATATCATTTCCGATAGTTTGATTAATTTCTGATAGCATTAAACAATGGCGCGACTGGTGGAAGTTCAGAGGTGCCAGGTCATGATTATGCAAGGTCAAAGAAAATACTGGTTGCCAGGCATTTCGGTTACCATATTTGCACTATAGAACGTCTTGTTAGACGTATAAGAAAACACTGGACGTGTTGCTGGCAGACCTAGGTGTGGGCGTGACGTCACAACGTCAGCACAGGCTTATTCGTCCCGCGCATTTGAGCAATCGGCACCTTACTGCTACTGAATCTGTCCTTCATACCATAGATACTCATAACCATCCTATCTATTGAAATAATGTAAGGAAACGATTGCGGGCAACATTCGTAAATAATGTTTTTGTGTTTTGTGTTCAATTACTATATGTGGACATTTGTATTTAGCGGGGATATCTTCATCTTCGATGCGAGATCTGATTCATAAATATAATACGGTCATATAAAATCTAAATGAGCTATAATATCGTCAAAATAAGTTTAGCGAAAATGTGAATCCACGTGGAAAATAACTTTCAAATATTCCCATTTTAGCAAGTTTTATCAGACCGCCATATCACAAGGAAAGAAAACGGAAAGTATTTTATAAAAAAAACATCCCTAATTAAAAAGTCTTATCTAAATTATCTGAGTTGTAACTACATTATCTCACATGTCAATATGACGTCACTATTGAACTGTTATTCATGACGTCGCAATTCGCATTTATGCAAAACATATGAAGAAGAAATTAAAAGCGCTTATATCTTACAACTTACCGTGTTTTACAGTCTTTTAACATTTTTTATAATACAGACTGTACACCTATCTATATATGTGTGTGTGTGTGTGTGTGTGTGTGTGTGTGTGTGTGTGTGTGTGTGTGTGTGTGTGTGTGTGTGTGTGTGTGTGTGTGTGTGTGTGTGTGTGTGTGTGTGTGTGTGTGTGTGTGTGTGTGTGTGAGAGAGAGAGAGAGAGAGAGAGAGAGAGAGAGAGAGAGAGAGAGAGAGAGAGAGAGAGAGAGAGCATCTATTATCAAAGTGGAAATAATCATCATATGTTATTCTGTAGTCTCATATTCGTCTTGATGTTATCGATTACACGCAGTCGAAAGGAGACAACTTTTAACTTGGAATATTTTGCAACCAAAGAAGCAATATTGACAACACCACCTAAGACCCATACACTTCCAAAACCATTCAATCCGAATGCAGACAACCCTCTGAAATATGGAATTCGAACAAGACAGGCAAGTATGGCTACACCTGGTAAAACCACCTGTAGCGTGGCAATATTAATTTTGCCTTGGATGGAATTCAGCTCACCTGCAAGTCTTCTCAATAAATCAACAGTCCTTCTGCTTTGGCGCACCTATATTGCTTATAAGATGTAAGAAATGGTCTTTTGTTTTAGAATCGTTTATTGATATGTCAACTATTGAGCTCATTTTTGGGTTTGCCGCAGAAGACTAGAACTATAGCCTTTGGATAGATTACTACGAAATATATGAACAGTACACATAAACACGAACCGTAAATGTTTTCTTTTTACATTACATTACATACTGGATTTCACACTGTTAAATTCCTCTCTATTCATTCAACTACAGCTGATACAGATGCATGTACTATCTTACCGTAATATGAGCAGACTGTTTTGTAGGATAAAATATATCCAGAATTCGCTGTTCAAAATTTGCTTTGATCATAATTCACTTTCCCAACGAAAGATTAATCTTATCGTTAAGATTTTATCATTCTTTAAGAATATCAAAATCATTGTTATCATACTCGCCAAGGGGAATGCATATCAATTACCTATGAAACGCCAAATAGCCCCCCTATTGATTGTCGCATGTGTTTGATAAAACACAGATATTAAAAGAACATTGTTTTTTGTCTCTTAATTAATAGTTATCAAATAGAAGACTAAATAAATAACCAAGACAGTTGATACAGATTATGTTCATATTCATTTTGAGGGATGTAATATTTTATATAGATGGCAAATATAGGTCAATGACTTCAACTGAATCAGCATAAGAATGGAGGAAACTGGGTACAGAAAATTCCTCCCAAAAATAGCTGATGTTAACTAGTAAGTGAGGCATTAATATTAAATTCCAGGAAATAATAAGCAATCTGTTGTCTGAGTGCAAAAAACTGAGCCACTGCAAGGAGTGTAGTTGAAGTCTTGACAGATAGGTTCCTGATGTCCAGGTCACTGCAAAGACACAAAAACAAAAAGCACAGCAGAATTTGAAATGAAAACGGGAGGGGTGGGAGGGATATTTTTCACTAAAACGTCCACTGATCTCTTTGCTGCCTAAGCTTGACCTTGCAAAATGGCGAATGCACGGCTATGACGTAATGAACATCAAGGGAGTTAACTCTACAAATACAAGGGAAATAACTCTAACGACTTTAACTAAAGTTGGAATAGCTGACCCGTAAAGAGTGTGTGGTCTTCATATGATAAATTAAATTATTATAACGAAGTAATTTTTAGTATTTTCTACATGGAACAGCAGACACGTTACAACTAACCTAGTTACATACCACTTCTTATACTATTATAAGCGAGTATACAGAATAAGATAGGGTTGAGCCTCTTTATCTTGAAAGCGTGTAACTCGAATACCCCATTTAATTGACTTAACACATAACATTCGAACTCATTTAAATCGGCTACTCGGTTATCTCGAAGTATGCCATAATCCCGTCGAGTTCGAGATAACGAAGTTCGACTGTACTTTTATTAGCTACTAATGAAACAATACAACACTGTTTTTATAGTGTATAATACTGTTTTATTAAGATTACACAATGTGTTATACTGCTAATGCTGAAAACAAAGGGAGTTTCTAAACAATGGTTTTGTTAGTACATTCTATTATTATCAGTAAGAACACTATAAAATACTATAAAATATAAGAATACTAATGATAGAACTGAATCTATATTTACAACATAAGTATATCTGTATATCAAAACTGTTTTTTTTAGTCTCGTATACAAATCAGTATAATTACCCTGCCATTTTAAAGCGTGCATTCAACTTCTCGTCGTAATTCGAAGTGCTGTAAAATGACGTCAGAGTTATTACTAGTGTGATAATAAATAAAATCCATTGGATAATGTGATAATAATCGTTCCAAGATACTACTTAATTGCTATTTCTTTAACGGGAAGAGTAAAAACCATAACTGAATATAATGTTTTTTAAGTATCCAGAGAGTGAAACATAGGTAAACTATTGTAGTTCGTGTGATTTGTACATAGTGAATACCTGTCATTGTCAGAGTATAACGACTATATTAAAAAACATAATTATGATAGGCGTTAGGTATATTTGTCTTCACGAACTAATCTATTCCGTACCGTTTATTTATTCACATATATGTAATCAATAGCCAAAATATTCATGATTTGAACATATCTCTCCCTCCTTCATTGTACCAGAGACGTATATAACACATGTGTTATATACGTCTCTGATTGTACCTATTGCTCAGGAAATGGAAATACCCACATATCTAAAAATAACCTGTTTCCAAGTATTTTAAACTCGCCCTTTGAATGCGGATGTTAATTATATATACAAGCCATATACACGTATATCAGAGGCACGAAAAGGTATGTAAATCTTAAGAAAGTAAATGATTATTTGCAGACATGCGTTTATAAATCACTATTCTTTTTCATACGTCTTATGGGAGATAAAAACCGCTAAACAATACGTCAGCTGGTAGCACGGGTTTAGATACAACGACAGCCCGTTCTATATTTAGGAAATACTCACCGCAGAACAAACAATATACCGGGTTATTTTCAACACAATAGACCTAGTTAGGATACCTCGTTGCCTTATGACGAGTTATAAGACAGGGAGTTGTTGTCTGAGGATTATCAATTACATATAATACCAAATAAACAACCTCAAAAGTTTTAGTGCACGGTAATTGTAAAGCAAAATCACTGTTAATTGTGTATTCATTTACTACCGGTGTCTGTATGACGCATTTTCGTAACAGCGAATTATGCAGGATTTAAAAATCTATATTCGCTGGTTTCCTTTTTGACTTCTTTAAATATGTTTTTTGTACTTTCCTAGCTAAAGGTCAATATCTGTTGATTTCTTAAAACGAAAATCCAACTAGCGCTTTAGCCATGAAACATTGTTGATTTTTTAATATCCTACATTTGAATTTTAGTTTGTCGTTGTTATGATTGTTGTGAAGTCAATTGCAGCATTGTTACAAAGATGTATTTAAGGTTTTTGGTTAAATTATTCATATTACAAACAGGCAAACGAATTAGCCATGGCTGAACACAGCAGATCACAACGTGTGTATACTGTTAAAACTCTTAAAGACATCTTGCTCAAGGCAAACTCATGGGACTCCATCGAAGACGACTTTATGGGAATATGCAAATGCATTGAAGAGGTAAATAACATTAATCGTTTTAATACTTTTTCTCTCAAGGGTGTAAACAATTTTGTTCATATCCGACCATCTTTTCATTGAATTTTATTTTGATTTAAGCTGAAACGTTGGCTTTTTCCTATTCTTTTTTCTGGCCTCTACAATATTTATTAATATTGTTAATGGTAATACACATGTATTATCTATACTGTATACTGTCAAATACATCTTTACAATAGGACAAAAAGCCATTGGTAACTCTGAACTTGATAACAGTAAAATGAACTGAATTAAAAAAAAAAACATTACATTAACTATTTCATTATAACGCAAATTAAGCATTCGAATGGAAAACAAGATACTAACGTTAAAAATGTATAAATGAAAATATGTGATAACATCCTATTCTTAAAAAAACTGTTTGCGGAACTGGAACGTGTATTTAAAATTTTTGTTATGATAAATGATTCTGATAATGATAATTTTATAATTTATATGACAACAAATTAGCTAATTGATTATTGTAATAGTTATTATGTTTTCTTCACAAAGAGCCTGAAAGAACAGAAGAGTTTAGAAAAGATTAAACCAATTTTCAAAAAACTTGAGAAATCGTGGAAAAAAGTATTATCATATGAAGAATACAAGCAAACCAAGACAAACTTATGCAATGTAAGTACCTCAATCATAATCCTCTTTAATTGTTTTATGTACATACCATACGTACACACTTGATTGTAAATAAACTGTAATTAGATTTAATGGCTTAGATAATCAGACCAAATCCCATAATATGCAAACATGAAGTTATAAACTGTTGGTTTTTGCAAGAGTTTGACCATACAAGTTCTGTGTCATGTGTAATTATTCGCACCAACATGCAACCAAAATTTCCTTTATCCTTTCTTTGGTAAAACATTATATATGTGTTATTTAAAAATGAAAGAATAAAGATGTTTTCATTTTGCAGCCAAGTTATTTATCGAAGTATCAACAAACACAATTGGATGCTCTTGAAGATGTAGGATATAACAGAACGACAAGGAATTCCAATTCATCCATGAGTGCTCCAACAACACCAGACAAAACATCGGCGAAAACGACAGCAAATCAGGAATCCGTGTCAATGTTAGATTGTATTATGAAATCCATATTTTAAATTATTCTTTCTCCTTAATTAAAATTAATGCGGGTATGGTCTTATCTGTAACACTTTAAAATTATCCCTGCTATTAGATATATGTCTATTTTCAATGAAGCTTTATATCAGTCCTAGCCACACTTGTATAAAATATCTCAATTTAAGATTTCCTCAAGCCCAGATTTTCCTCAGCTAATATCTCCTTGAAAATATCTTGTATGAAAATTCCTCAAGGAATTTCAGGACATCCTAGCCGATGCCTTCCTCCTGTTCCTTAAGAAAATTTTATACAAGCCGTTTTCGAGGAGATATCAGCTGAGGAAAATTTCGACTTGAGGAAATCTCAAGTTGAGATGTTTTATACAAGTGGGGCCTGATATTATATTCATTATACATAGAAGGTTTTATATAGATAGCAAAATTTATTATTCAACTTCAAATCTAATAGCAGATAGTAGAACATGTAATAAAAAGATATAGAATGTAATTAACAAAATTAGATAACATAATTAATTGCTATATTCATAACTTGGCTCTATTCTAAACTGTGCGTTCATTTCATCGATATGTAATGAAATAATTTGTTTCTTTTTCTTACCAACACAGGGTTGCCGATATGATTGAACGACTAACAAATGAGCTTCAAGTGTGAGTAATTCTAAATTTGAGATTGTATTTTATTCTAACAAGAAATAATTTACCTTTTATAAATGTAAAAACTCACAAAAATACGATAATCTTCAGTAATTCATATATATATATCTTATGTAATACAAGGTATGCAGATAGATGAAGAGAGTTTTCTGATTGTTACTGATTGAAATATATGTGAATTGTCTTATTGTAAATAAATCCTACGAACCTCTACAGGACGTAATTTGTGTTTAATATTTCTGAATTATATTATTTTGCCATTTTACAGGGAAAAGGAAAAGTTAGCTCTTTTGGAAAAAGAACACAGGCATGTTATTGAATTTTGAAATTGTATGATTTCATGTTATTTGAAAACATATTCATCACTTAAATCATGATGTATATTATATGTAAATTCTTGATACTGTCTAATTAATTCAGAAAAAATCTTGTACACAATTAGAAAAAAAACTGCGATTGAATTTAGCTTATTTTCCCCTTAAATACAATGTACTTTTACAAAATATATATATATATATCAACACCAATAACGGTTAAAAGTAGATCAATCATTTTGAATTTAAACCTTATTACAAATAACGAAGCCAAAAATGATATTCTGTAACAGTTCAGAGCCTTTGCTTTGTAATGTTAGATTGTAACCTTGTAATCACTCCAAACGTTTTCTTCATCAAACCATTTGCACCTATATATGGAGATTAGCCTTCCACTGTAGTCGTTACTTAATCAGAGTACGGATATTGAATATTTGTTATCAACAACTGGGAAAGGAAAGAAAACTAAGGTAAAAGGCAATGGTGATAATGTTCCTGTCAGTTGTCTGGCTACCTATGCCATACCATGTTTAAAGCGATGTGTGGCTAGCATAGAGTGAGTATTCATAAGCAGATGTTTGTCTTTCATATAAACAGAAGATAATATCTTGTTTATCAATTCAAAATTAAATTTTATGAAAAGAATTACCCGGCGAAAAATATTTTTTCGCTAAATCTAGAGCTGAGCTGATAATGTACAAACACTCAATTTTAAACACAGAGCACTAAAAGACCACACCAAGGAGATGGAAAGGGAGACAACCGTACTTACCAGTCATGCGCTACAACTTCGAAATAAGGTGTTACCACTATCCGAAATGATTGATACCTTCCAAACCCAATGGCAAAAATTTCAGCAAGTGCCACATAAGAGGAAAAAGAAAAAGAAGGGAAAGAGAAATATACCAGTTTCTCTACCTGAAGTGTGTCAGTTCAACGACGAAATGACAGCATCTGAAGTTATCACATGCACAGGACAGACACTGATTGAAATGAAAACTATTTTTGCGTAAGTTTCCTAGTTTCAATATCAGAAAATTATTATTTATAGGTCGGAACTATCACAATTTGATCATAATGTCAAAAAAGTTAGTAATAAATTATTATAATTAATACATCTACAGGTATTACGTTATCTCGTGAATGTTGATGAGATGAAAATTTATGTAGGTACATTTTTACTGCTTGTAGAAAACTACAAGAAGTGATGGGATGTCTTAATGCCATGCGCGACATAGAGTCATGGATTTCCACATCAGTTGATGATGTCAAATCTAGAAATGAAATTCTATCTCAATCTGCATCGTCAGTTACCGACGAAAGCTCATTGTTAAGAATCCCTGCCAAAATCAGAATACACATGGAGGGGTTTTTTAAGGACTACGTAGGGTAAGTGTGATCTTTTATGACATATAAATGTGTTTTGTTCTTTTATGTACATGGCAAACGGTATCACATTGTCAATATGATAAATAATAAACGTGGCAGGTCATAAATGGGATGTTTGTGTTTAGGCTGCACGGTAAAAATATTATTATTTGTCATACGTCTCAGTTGTTCTTATATAAATAATATATTACCATTTACTATCAAATGTGGTTTACATCATATTCCATACTTAAATTAACCTTCTCTTGTAATTTTTGGATCGGAAAACAAAAATAATGAAATAAATTCACGGCAGAGTAAGTAATACCATCAATTTATCGTAAATTCCAACACATAAGTATTGTAAATGATATAGATATTTTTGAATGCTATTAAATCAAGCTTAGTGGCTGTACCATGTATCTTTTTACTGAACAGTACGAGGAATTTCTTTAACATCCGATGTAATGAGATGTTTTTATGTTTTTTTTTTATCAATTTCTTACTCAGTCAGTGCAATGAGGTTTCTACACTGAAAGATGACATTCAGCATATAAAAAATGAAAAGTTGGAGCTTGAAGTCAGAATCCAAGAAATAGAAAAAGACCATGACAAGTATGTACAACCTTTATAAACATTTCATATTTCCCATCACATTACGGGTGTCATTAGAATTCAAACATTACAACACTTCATAACATTTTGATTTGTTGTTGTTGTTGTAATTATCCAATCGCCATAGACAAGACGTTTAATCCAAATCTGTCTTTCAGATTCGAGACAAAAATGATTTCAAAAAATACAGATATCAAACATTGTATACCAGGCAGAGACAAGGAAATTGAGGACCTGAAACATCAGAATGACCAGCTACTGCACAGGTATTCATACATTGGTGTCGACATCAAAATTTTTTTATGAATCTCCATATCAAAATGTAAATAAGTTAACTATTTTCTTAATGCTCATGTGGCTCTTTGGCAGTGCTCCAGATAACTTTTTGACATGTGGGGTTTTCACTCCTACCTTTATAAATTGAGGGGTTTTTTCACCCCTGCCTTCATCAAGTGTATGGGTTTTTCCATATTAGGGTAACACTGAACTTGTAAACATTTTTGACAGCGCCATATTTGCTATGCGACTGGTTTATAATCACGATCAAGAAAGCGCTTGTTACGAGTTTCGTTTACTTGATAAGTGTCTGTTTGACTTAGATTATTGAGTTTTCTAACTATGTACTATTGGAGCCGGACATTGACGCAGAGTCCGGATTTCGCACGGGTTAATGACGCAAATCTTATTTTTTTCCTAGCGTGAAATTAGAAATATTGTGCGTGAAAACGCATTCACGCAGGCTATCTGGAGCACTGCTTTGGAATATTTGGGTTACATTACTTATTGAAGGACTTAATACACTTACCACTAGACCTGTATTTCCCTAATGGAGAACAATTTACTTTTGAAATATCATTTAAGTATGGACAAATTTATATACGAATGAAAACTAATATCTTTTTGTAGACAAGAAGAAGGAAGATCGGCTTTATTGCAACTCAAAAGAAACATGGAAGATGTTGCCGCTCAAAGTCAAGAGAAGGACAATCTGCTTCAAACGTAAATGGTTTTAAGGTTTTTGATCTTTGGTAAAATAACGTTTTTTGTGGCTTATGTTTCATGATTTTTCATGAGACTTTGGATTGCTTTGATAAATATTACTCAGTATTAGACTAATTAAAAACCAACGACTATAAATGATTTTAAAGTTTGTGTCTGTCCATAAACTCTATGAACGATGTATTATATACATGACAAATTATTATTCCATGTCCTTATCTATTTCGATACACACTAAAGAAGATGAATGCATTATCTGTGATTACATGATACCAGGATCTGACATGTATGATGTTCTAAACCACATGACAATTTTAATGTTTTGTCACGCAAGGAACTATATTGTTTACTGAGGATTAACGCAATTCTACATCTAATAATGCTATCACTGGTCAAAGTTAATGAATTTAGTTTCAAAAATCACTTACGAATGAATTCAACTTTGGATCTTCTCACAAGATGGTCGATTATTCAGGCAGATAAAAAGACATTTCACGTCACAATTCGGTACTCATTGTAATGTCACGATGCAATTTGTAAGTGTTTGACCTTATTTCTTTATCTAAACATGATGCAACATCAGACTGTACTACACATGTGTAACTCGTAAATATGATATAATGATATTCGCCACATACCTACGCAATCATGTGATGCATAAAGGATATTTAACAGTGTCTTCCTAGTAACAAATATATTTCCTGAGTGCATCAAGTATTTTGGTATCTGTCACACGTGTTAGTACGAATAAACATACCATTTCTATTAGTCACACAAGTGCAATCTATTTCGGAATGAACCATTGAATGTTCTATTTATTGTGTATTTTTAACATATTATTTGATTGGTAATCTCTGGATGTCATTAAAAGTGCTATTCATAACTAGTTAGAATAACAGAGTGTCATTTTAAAGAAAAATAATGATCATTACAATAATATTTGAAAATGTGATAAAATTCTTTCCTGTTACCAATGTATCTACGTGTGATCACTTCTGACAGTCAGAGCTGTTCTAGAGATATTTTTGGGAGACCGAACCTGATTTGTAATGGTGTGTCGGATTTATTACATTATTTACAACCCTACCGTAACTAGTTAATTGTTGTATTGTTTTCTGGGATCGAATTATTTGATATTTCTTGTGTTAAAATATTCTGCGTGGTCCTCAGTGATCTGGATAATGGTAGACAACTCTTGTTTTTTTCATGAAAAGCAAATGCTTTCTGAATAAAGATCTTGACACATACAGTGATCTGAACAATTCGAATGCGAAGAAATTATTCCTGTCTCTTCTATTAACTATTTATAACTAATTATGATTATCAAAATGAAAAATGTGGCAATGAACATGTTTAATGCGAATATATCACACAGATGCAAAATGGAATTGTCATCAAAAGTGGTGGAAATCGGAACACTTGAGAAACGGTTATCAGCTAAAGACACTCAAATTGAAGACTTGAAAGAGCAGACTGGCAAACTGCTTAATAGGTACAATTGAAGAAATTGTTGTATGATTGATATTATCATTTTGATATTGTTGAGCCAAATTGTTAAACCTTGTTGACGACTGAGAAAAAAATTCAATGTGGTTGGAAGATTGGCAACACTCTAACTAGAGAAGCGTACATGCTCCATAATTTAATCAATTTCGTAATTCTTTTATAACAGATAACTATAGCACAACGTCATTATGTAATAACAATACAACTATTTTAAGGATAAGCAAACAGGCCGAAGTGAAATTAAAAGATGGTAACCATGCCATCACTGACCTCAGCGATCCCAATCGACCGATAAATCTGGCGGAGAAGTTCAGTGAACTGTATGACAATGAATGGACAGAAGCATTTGAAGAGGTGACGGAAACCAAACGCAAGGAAATGAAATTGACAGACAAGGAAGCCATCGGTTTACTGCTGCAAATACTCTGTGTATGTCCTTTTATCAAGTAAATATAAAGAAGTTAAATTAATCAAAATCTTGACAGTTTATAGTATCCCTGAATAATACTGGTGTTTGCTCCATTGAATATATTGCAACTCCGTTGATATCGTTTTCATGATCTACAGGATACAGACGAGTACTGTAGGAGGCAAACTGAGACACAGTGGTGTGAAATATTAGAGGCAGTGAGTCAGCAATCACATGATGTATGTAACAATTATTAACATTGATGTTTTATTTAATTTTATATCAGCTTTTAATGATTTTAAATGATTGTTGAAAAATATTTAAATTTTGCTTTCAGCAATCACCACAGATCCCTCAAATTTACGTCAAAGATTTAGGAAATGTGAGAAATAATTTTAAATGATTTTAAATGATTGATTAAAAATATTTAAATTTTGCTTTCAGCAATCACCACAGATCCCTCAAATTTACGTCAAAGATTTAAGAAATGTGAGAAAAATGACAAGTTCCCTGTCAGCAGAAGGTGTCATCAAGGTATCAATGTTGTGTATAATAAGAGTATTAAACCGTTTGAAGTTAAGTACGTTTAATAATTAATGTAGAATTAAACGCATTAACTTTTTTTCATATAATTAAAATTGTATGAGCTACGTTATGACCTTTTTTTTACAGAAGTTTTTTGCTTCTGAATTCACCTGTACAAACCCGAAGCTCGCGGAAGTAGGTAAAAACCTAGAAATATATATCCGGAGATGTCTAGAAATATGTTGGTTGATGTCAGCACAGAACCCTCCGCTCTTCCTCTACAAAGACGTGGCATCGAACGACCAATTCAATGACGACTACTTCAAGTTCTACACTTGTGCAGGGAGGACTGTGGATTTTCTTGTCTGGCCAGCTCTCTTAAATTATGAGAATGGGGACTTGCTTCGCAAAGGTGTTTGTCAGGGACTGAAAAAATGATCGAAAGCAAGCATTTGTTCCTTGTCCGTCCAGTTTGGTTGCCCTCTACAAGAATTGAAAGCAAGGAACACCAGTAGTATTATACAAAGCGTAATTCTAAATGCTGACAATGAACCTAATGTCATTTAGTTTCATCTTTAACAACGAAAATGTAAAAAATAAACTGCTTCCTAAATATATCATACAACCATTCTAAAATAGGTCAAATATAAATTTGTATAGTCAAGAGACCATTTCCTGTTTTTTAAACATTGTATCACAAAATACTATTTGTGCCATTTATAGATCACTTTAAGACTTCATTATTGTTTTGTCAGATGGTTTATCGTTCTGTGATATAAAAAGAGACACTTGAATTTCCCAACCAAATCTTTTTGTTAAAAACCAATTGATCGTGTTCCAGTCATATTACTTTTTCACTAATGATGGAGCGATGAATAGGTTTCATAACGCCTTATACTTTGCTGCTTTTTTTTTATCTAGAAGAGAAACAATCAAACACATGTATTTTGCAATGGATAGTGTAATTATCAAGTGTAATAGTTTGACTGGTCAGCACTCAAACCTTGTGCTGACCAGTAAAACTATTACACACGATTTCAGATATCCCTGTGAAAGGAACAGACTCTTGTACGGTGTTATCATCTGAACTTAGCTGGGTAGTTCTTGCGTTGGTAACATGAACCAAAGGTTGAGGTTATTCTTCTTCATATCCGGTTGTGTGAGGAGTTGGGGTGGGGGTGATTTTTCTCTAATCTGGACCTATTATGTACGTAACTATGTCGATATTTGTAGATCTGTAAGTTTGATGCTTTTCATGACTTCATTGAAGTGTTGCCTTAATTTCATGCATTAAAAGTAATCGCGATTAGAAACTCTTGAAATAAAGGCAATTTCAGAGGTGCCATTTTGATAACTCTACAAGCAACCACACATGGCTACAAATACAACACTACCGGTTGTTGCTGTCTAACGATCTCATCATTATTATATCTTTTTCATATGTAAACGATTATGACTGGGTACGTTTCTATAAACAGGTATATAACTGGATGGATGATCAAAAGGCAATTAGTGCGAGGAATTAAGGAAAGTTCGATCAAATGTTTTAGTTTGAAGTCTGTTGTTTTAATTGTTCTATATCACTACCTTTAGGTGCTCTTTCATTTTGAAATCATTCTTAAAAGTTGAAGAAATACTTTAATTTTTCTTTAAGATACATATTCTGCATCTACAAAACACTATTTGTGTTCATTTATCTCTTGATTTATTGGTGAGAAAATCTCTTTTCAACTCAGAGAGACAATATTCAAAGAAGGGAAATAACTCTCAATGGACTGCTGACGATACTTTATCTGTTTTTATGTAGGCATATAAATCTTTCTCTTATTTGAATTTCCCCAAATAACATTTTGTGACAATTGTTCCTTTAATTTCCATAGCAATATTGACTTTATCTTAAACTATTTTTGAAAATATCATTGACATATCTATTTATATTGTTATCAAATCGGGAAATGCAAAAAATCTTAATCTCGTTACATATATTTCAAAATATAAGTATATATCCATTGATATTGAGATATGAATCAGATGACATAATGTGATATGCTGTAATATCTACCATGCCTTTTGCATATAAATGTACATGTATTTAAATCATCCTAAACTTGCCTTTGATATGAGTCAAGCAATGCCTGTAGAGAGCGAAGCTAATATGCCGGTTTTAATTCATGTTGATAAAAGTGCTACGAAAAACAAAACACAGAGGAGTGATGGCTAACTGACTAGCACTTCAAGATATGAAAAAATTTGGCGCTTTACATTGAGTGATCGATCGCGCAATACTTTGACGTTAACGTTTATTGTGCTTGTGTATATGTTGTGACGTCATATTATCTATTGACGTTATACACTGGGCACATGGAGGAATATATAATTATCAATTCAAATCAATTTCATTTGCGCAATAACAGGAAATCAGACGAATTCTAGAAAAAGTAAATGTTGTCATAGTATTCTTATTAACATTTGCTTCAGGTAATGCAGAACACCTATGTTCCATGCCTCATCCGGGATAATTTGTCTCTGTTGTTTCAGGTCCTGTTTTATAGACGATAGGCGGAACGTCTCGCGCATGTTAACGGCATAGAGTTTCGCTCTCATAACAAATTATTCAGATGAGTCGAAAGGGATTTAATAGAAGAGTTTTAAATAAATTGTGTTGTTTCTCAGTGTGTTGGGAGGTCTTGAAGAGGCCTATATGTGCTATATATGTGATTGTTCCTCTATCCTGCTGATGATATGAACAATAAAACATCCAATCAAATGTGTTAACTGGAATGAATTATTTCTCAAACAACTCTGTGTAAACATAGGTGACCTTGATAAACTTTCAATTATGACGTATAACGTTAATGACTAGTGAACAAAACAGGCACAGAAAGTCCTACTGGAATCCCCTATCAGTTTTCCTATGTAAGATAGGCTTCCTAACGACTTCAATGTGTAAACACACAACAGTAGCCGCTTATTTCAATGGGATTGACGTTTCGCTATTTCCTGATGTATTGACGTGAAAATTTAAATACGTGATATAATGAGACATGTTTGTATATTAATGCTCTTTTACATTCAGATCGCGAAATTTCTATTCGCTTAAATATTATTTGACCACTTTATTAGAAAATCGCGGAACTTTTCACCATTGAAAATCACCAGCTATAAGGTTTATTTCACCATTTTGTTCATTTCATATCGATGATATTGCTTTTTGTTTATTTGTTGGTTTTTATTTCGTCGCCGAATCGAGTTTTCATAACATGTAAGAATTAAAAATTCATCCTTTGCGACGTAATCCAGATGAAGTGGCCACTACATGAAACTTCAAGCTTCATATACTTTGTTATAGTGTAATTAAAGACCAAGGTCATCAACTGTCGTTTGAGTACTATGTAGGTTTGTCAAAGAAATGATCGTGTTAACAATGAAAACTTGAAGTACATTGCAAAGCAAGCAATACAATTTGATTTTCCACGGGCGACTATAATATTCAAAAATATTATTTTTATATATAAGCTATAGTAAACTTTATCCGCTCCCTATAGGCCTTGGTGCCATGGGTATTGATTTTGTCATGTCTAGGACTTCAGGAAACGATTTTCGAAATTTCAATAAGTTATTTAATTGCTGTTTGTCCCGTCCTTCAGATTCTTTGGGTAGAGGTTCTTCTTGCAAGGAAACCTAAAATGTTATAGAAGTATATGGACATGTAGCTTTACGAACTAAGAATTACGGTATACAAATGTAGAAAGTATAGCGGGAAAAAAATCCAGCATGTCAACACAATAATTCAAACTCAAATTCAATGAGACCGAAGCAAAATATGGACAGGAAGACTCATGAAAAGGTACAAGCCGAAGAAGACGGGGTGTTCTGGAAAATAGGCGTTTTCTGCTTCATCGACGACCCGCAATGTAGAACCTTGGTCAGTTAGTAATGTTAATTTTTCAAATGAGAACAAAGTTTCAAACAACAGAACCAACTGGCAAACTAACGAGCAACAAACACGTCCAGTTTCATATCGTACAAATGTAAACTACAACGACAATAAACTAGCTTGCAAATCGAAGCGACTCTTATTAGCTTTGGTATTGCTGGGATGGGTACTCAACGTTGTGACGATTGAAATCGAATTCAAAATAATGACATAGTGTGGAAATTCAAGCTACGGTTATACATTACGTTGATTATCTTGAATTCTGTTGTCGTCATATCAAGTTTATAAAGCTGCGATATTTATTATTTCAATCTTAAATCAAAACGTTCTGTAAAAGACTTGATGACGTAATGATTGAATTTGGGTTCTGCTTGAGAAACTGATAGAATAATCACTGTGTGGTCACGTGTCACAAAATACGTTAACATATCATAATTTTCAGCTCATTACTTTGGCTAAAGGTAATGTCAAGGGAACATGCTAATAAAACTTTGTCAAAACACAATAAATCCAAATGATGGAGGTCACAGATCAATAAAATCCAATTTACTTTATCAAATACTTTTCTTATATATTTTGTTAATAGTATTTCATTTATGTACCAAATGAAAAACTTCGTATGAGAAGGAGAGGGCAGGTCTCATGAGATACAGGTTACCACTGACTTTAAACAGTCAATGCTGGATTGATTTCAGTTATTAAAAATAATACTTTATTTTATTTGTATCTGATTACCGTAACTTATAAAGATGAAATCAAGTGTAATCAAACAAAAATATTTTTGATCAGGGGTAAGAAATACCCACTAACTTTGAATTTGTAATATAACCGCACATACCCTGTAATTTACCCGGGGAAATATCATACATAAAATGTATTGAAATTGAATCCAGGGTCCGTATTCATGACACCGTTATCATGCTCAAGCATGAATTTTGTGCTCAAGCCTTATGCCTTGTTTAAGTTAAAAATTGGTAGATAAGGCTGATTTTGCCAAAGATTAAAAACTAATTAAAAGGACTTCAAGTCAAAGTTATATTCAATGATTATATTTGACATTTGTATTATTTTATATGATTTAGGCGAATTAATAAAAAGTTTGCTTGAGCATGAGAATGGTTTCATGAATACAGCCCCAGGAGTTAACGTGTGTGATCCTGAAGTAAATGCTTGTAATGATTAATCTTTACAATACACAGATCATTATATATTACACAGATTCTAAATTTGGTACTCCTTTTATATATACACCACATCGACACAACTATTCCACGTAATACCTGTATACGTTTCTCAGAATTACAACGAGGAAGTTAATTAGGGCTGTCAAAATGGCGAGGTAAGTGCGATCCTCACCAGGTCAATTATCATGTACACGATTGTCTTTACATATTTATATCTATATATATATGTGTGTGTGTGGGTGGGTGTATGTATACATTATATTAAGCGGTCCAGCTGTTTAAATGTACATATGCATAGCAACTTCTCCATATAGATAATATTTAAAACATATGAAACGACGTAGGTAAAACATACCATACCTGTATATTTCATGTGCCATGATTTATGGTTGACATATATTTTGATAATATAAGATAGAAATATTGTTTTATAATATACGTTATGTGCAACACATGTATGCTGGTTTAGAACAATAACTTTGTTGGTTTAGAACAATAACTATGTTGGTTTAGAACAATAACTGTGTTGGTTTAGAACAA